GACTGGACGCACGAGCAAGGTCAGACGGTGGGTCAGCAACGTCAGGAAGAGACGACGCAGGAGGTAACGGTAGGACAACACGCTGTGGAAGAGAGGAAGGACGGAGTGTCATATCGTGAGTGCCGGGGACAGCCGGAGCACGCAGACGACGAACACGAGGAACACGAGCACGGACAGCAGCTCTAGGCTCAAGCTCAAGGTCAAAGCTAGACTCAGGCTCTCGACGCTCAGTCAGGGACTGTGTCACCGCAGTGTAAGGAGCAGGAGTAGGCAGTGGGGAGTGCGGTAGCAGCGGCGGCTGTGACTGGTCTGCCGGTGGAAACAGCAACGGGGGAGTAGTACCTGCCACAGGGAAGTCAGTAGCACCGGGCGGAAGACTGAGAAGGTGGCGAAGAGCACCAGCAGCTCCCGTACCTCCAGCACGAGCAGCTCCTCCAGTACCCCCAGCAACACCTCCAGCACCAGTAGCACCAGCACCTCCAGCACCACAAGCTTCGACAGCGCCAGCACCTCGAGCACCAGTAGTACCTCCAGCACCTCCAGTGCCTCTAGCTCCAGCTCCAGCGCCTCCAGCACAAGTAGTACCTCCAGTACCTCCCGTGCCAGCAGCTCCAGTAGCACCTCCAGTACCTCCAGCACCAGCAGCACCACCTGCTCCGGCAGCTCCAGCACCTCCAGTACGAGCACCTCCGGGACCAGTAGCTCCAGCACCTCCAGTACCTCCAGCTCCAACGCCTCCAGCACCAGCAGCACCAGCACCTCCAGGGTCAGCAGCTCCCGCAGCTCCAGCACCTGTAGCACCAGCACCTCCAGTGCCAACAGCTCCAGCACCCCCAGCACCTCCAGTAACAGTAGTACCTCCAGCACCAGCAGCTCCAGTACCTCCAGCACCGGCAGTACCTCCAGTACTAGCAGCTCCAGTACCTCCAGCACCAGCAGCAGCTCCAGTACCCCCAGCACCAGCAGCACCTCCAGCACCTCCAGGCCTAGCAGCTCCAGTACCTCCAGCACTCGTAGCACCTCTAGTACCTCCAGTAGTGCCTCCAGCACCTCCAGCACCAGCAGCACCTCCTGGACTAGTAGCTCCAGCACCAGCAGGACCGTACCCTCCACCACTAGGACTGCCTCGCCGAACGACCCACGAACGAATCGCCTGCGGCGAGAGCGTCTCAAGTAGAGCAGGCTGCGGTGGCAGTCCACCTCCAGTACCTCCAGCTCCAGGACCTATAGAAGGACTCGCAGCACCCCCAGAGTCAGCACCCAAAGTCTCAGCACCCCCAGAGTCAGCACCCAAAGTCTCAGTACTCTCAGACCCAGCAGCCGCAGGCTCAGTACCCTTAGTCCCTGCACCCTCAGTCTCAGCTCCAGTGTCCACTGCAGAAGGCTGCAGAGGAGTGGGAAACCCGGGGCGGTCTCCAAGCGAGGAGTGCGGCGAGTGGTCGCCGTGTCGTCGGCGGCGGTGTCACCCCCCTCAGCTGGGTCAGAGGAGTCAGAAGAGATCTCCACTGGCTCATCCAAGGGGGGTGGGTCTACTTGAGACACACCTGAGGGAGCAGGACCCTGTGGGGGAAGGGGGTCTACCAGGGGGGGGACTGGTACCAGGAAGAGAGGCGCGAGGGGGACCGGGTGAGACGCGTGTGGGTGAAGTCGGTAGTAACAGACCGAGTCGTCGAAGGTGACGTCCTGAGAGGACAGAACACGACGCGAGGCAGGGTGGTAGAACTGCCAGGGCGGGGCGTCGGTGGGGAAGCCCAGGAAGACACAGCGGAGAGTGCGAGGAGAGAGCTTGCTCGCTTTGGTATCGCGAACAAGGGAGAGCGCGCCCCAGACCCGAAACGACGACGCATCACCAGGCTGTCCCGTCCAACGGAGTGTGGGCGAGGTCTCTGGAGCAGAGACACGGGGCCAGAGGTTGAGCTGATGCGCGGCGTATCGGACCGCAAACGGCCACAGGAAATGGGGAGCAGCCGCATGGATCATGGAGGTACGAGCAACCTCCATGATCAGGCCAATGCGACGCTCAGCGATCCCATTTTGCTGCGGAGAGGCCGGAAGCGTGAACGACTGGGCGATGCCCTCGTCCTGACAAAACGTCTCAAGGACGCCAGAGGAGAACTCACCACCCCTGTCAGAGTGCAGACGCAGGACTGGGAAGTTTTGCTGAAAACGCTCGTGCAGCTGGAGACGAGTAGCACGGATCCAGGGGATCAAAACACCGCTGACGTCCGCCTTGCGCCGCAAGCGGAAGATGGTGGTGTAGCGTGTGTAGTCGTCAACAACCAGCAGGAAGTAGCGCTCCTGGTCCGTTCCACCGACTGGGGCCGGGCCCCACACGTCCAGGTGGAGAGTCTGCAGAGGAGCAGTGGTCGGAGGAAACTCGGAGGAGTGAGGAGCGGCGCGCTGCCGCCCCTCGACGCAAGGAAGGCACGGCGGGGCAAGCGAGCGCGGCAGGGGGGGCAGGGTCCTGGGGAGGCCAGAGACAAGGAGACGGGAGTGCATACTGCGTAGACGTGGCAGGGAGGGGTGACCAAGACGGTGGTGCCAGCGCTGAGTCTCGTGCGTGAGTACTCTGCACGAGCAAGACGCAGCTAACTGTCCCGACGCAGACGCCCGACTCGACGCAGCCACCTGACCTGACTCAGCCACCTGTGCAGACGCAGTGGTCAGTGTGTACAGACTAGACCCAGGCTGTCGAGTGAACGTAGCCAGGTGACGGCCAGTCTGGGAGCACGTACAGATCGCCACACGCTGCCCTCCAGGAATAAAGGTATCAACCCAGACATCCTGAATGGCAGCGTTGCTCACCAAGTTCGTCGAGAACGTGGGGAGGTGGAGACCTGACAGAGAACCGGAGGGGACTGCTGGACAAGGGAGGACCGTGGAGGCTCTCGCAACTACTGGGCCCCCAGAGGGGTCAGCCAGTGAGACTGGGACAGGTGCTGTGAGTGGTGTGACTGTGGTGCAATCACGAAAGAAGCAACGTGACGCGCCTGAGTCAAGTGTGAAGTGTGCAAGACCTCAGCGGAGGCAGGACCTGTGGCAGTAGACGCACTAGCACCTAGAGCGTCGGCAGACTCACGGGCAGCTGCAGCAGACTCACTAGCACCTGGAGTGGCAGCAGACTCACTAGCACCTGGAGTGGCAGCAGACTCACTAGCACCAAGAGCAGCAGCCTTAACACAACGATAACCTCCACCACCAGGCCTGCCTCGCTGAACAACCCACTCACGAAGCTGCTGAGGGGTGGGGTCGTCCGGGAGAGGCAGTGCCCGCTGCTGTCCACCCCTGGCCACAGCAATTGCCGCGATAGTGGCCATGACAGACAGCGACGGTCAGGAGGTCCAGCACCTCCAGCTCCTCCAGCAACAGCAGCACCTCCAGCACTCCCAGCAGCACCTCCACCAGCAACAGCAGTAGCCGAGTAGTTTTTTTTTTTTTTTTTTTTTTTTTTTTGGGTTTAGGGTTGCGCGCGGCCCACGGGCTGCAGGGGCGACGCGCGGCTCGGCAGGGCGGCGCGCGGGCTGCAGGGGCAGCGCCCACGGGCTGCAGGGGCGATGCGCAGCTCAGCAGGGCGGCGCGCGGGCTGTAGGGGCGGCGCGCGGCTCGGCAGGGCGGCGCCCAGGCTGCAGGGGCGACGCTCGGCTCGGCAGGGCGGCGCGCGGGCTGCAGGGGCAGCGCCCACGGGGTGCAGGGGCGACGTGCGGCTCTGCAGGGCGGCGTACGGGCTGCAGGGGCGACACGCGGCTCTGCAGGGCGGCGTACGGGCTGCAGGGGCAGCGCCCACAGGCTGCAGGGGCAACGCGCGGCTCGGCAGGGCGGCGCGCGGGCTGCAGGGGCAGCGCCCACGGGCTGCAGGGGCGAACTCGCGGGCTGCAGGGGCAGCACGTGGGCCACAGGGGCAGGCACGGCTGCAGGAGCAGCACGGTCGCAGGGGTAGGCACGGCTGCAGGGGCAGCACGGTCGCAGGGGCGAGTACGGCTGCAGGGGCAGCACGGTCGCAGGGGCGAGCACGGCTGCAGGGGCAGCACGGTCGCAGGGGCGAGCACTGCTGCAGGGGCAGCGCGGTCGCAGGGGCAGCACGCGGGCTGCTAGGGCAGCGCGGCTGCAGGGGCAGCGTAGGAAGAAAAATTTTACGGTTAGGGCAGGGCGTAACGTTCGGTGGGCCCTAGGAACGATTCTGCTCTAATACCATGTTAGAATAAGCAGGCAGGAATGATGGACTAGGTAACATGCATGAGTACAAGTACCTAACCCTAAAGTGTTGTACCCCTTGTAGGCTAACCCACTATAGCCTAGAGATAACACAAACATACAGTTTGACACTTAGTGGCACGGGTTCAGTGCGAATCTAACACTTTATGCAGTCGAGCTGGAGCGAAAGTAGCCCGGAATGTTTAGGGCATTAAGGGCATATGCCCTTGAATCGACAGGCCTGGTACAGACGATACTACGATAGTGCAATGCTGTACAACAAGGTGCAACCGACAACGTGAACACCTTGGCGCCACCACGTGTTGGTCAGTGAGTCGTGTGGCTTTCCATCCGAATCTGGTCAAGTTTTTTCACCCAATCCTGGCGCAATCATGCGATATCTGATTGGTCATTACATCTCGAGCATCAAACTGACGCAACTGTTTCGGAAGTTGCATATAGTAACAAACCGATAACAATTAAATCAGCAATAACATGGATTACTTCTGGGTGTGAATCACCCTAAACAATACGGTGATTATTCTGCACAATCAATTCTCGGATTTTCTAGAAATGCAAGACAGCACATTCACTGTGCCCCTCCCTACCCTCATGGGCATAGACCCAAGCCTGCCGGTGACTCAGCCTGCCAAATCACCCACCCTCGCTGTACCCTCACACACACTTGGCGCGATACGCTGGTCTCGATGCCTGCTTTACCTTTGCCACCTTGCGCGATGATCTGAGAGTGGCCCCATTTGTTGTGACCTTTGAGTCGACTCAAAGGTCACCCTCACTGCCCCCATCCATCACACACACTTGGCACGATACAGTGGTCTGGACGCCTGCTTTGCCGCCTTGCGCGATAATCTATGAGCGGTCTCATTCGCTCTGTCCCTCCCACCTGCTTCTCCCTTCCCATCCCTCATGCCTCGCACCGAGGCCTGCTGGTGAATCCCCGCCACCTCATCTGCCCGCGACGCAAACACCAAGTCATGGAAATTCTTCCCTGCCCTCCTCTCCCCCTCCCCTTTCTTATCGACCTTTCCCGGATTCAACCCCTTGTCACCTCCCTCCCTGACCGCTTCCCCATCCCTGATTCCCTCATCCCCCCCTTCCCTCACCTCCCCTGCCTCCCCCATCTCCCTCATCATCTTACTCTCCTCGATCTGCTTCTTCCTGAACCACTCATGCGCCGCCACGTGTGCAGCTGCCATGTCATCGCTGTACTGTACAACCTTCACCATAGTCACAAGCCGCCTGCTCCACCGCTTGGTCAGAATCTGCTCGCTATTCGCCACCAGCTTCAGGCACGGATGCTCCGGAATCTCCTCGGGCACATACTCCTCTCGGGCAGCAGGGTAAAAATAAACGAGCCGCCCGCCAATCACGAGCAGCCGGGCAGCCGTGTCTAAAAGATCGTAGGCACTCTTCGAGCGAGTAAGGGGCGGTGGAGGGGATGTGGGCAGCTTTCAGGTTGTCTGCTATTGAATACGGGTCAGTCACCCCGTTGAGAATTTTCCTCCCGCCCGACTTTCGGCCGCCTGCCCGGACACCATACGGAGGGTCACAGATGATGGCATGGAACATCTGGAGATAGACGAGGAAACCAAGGGAAGAAAGAGAGCATGTCTCTTAAAGCGACGGTGCACATTTGCCACCCAAAACCCAGAACCCTGGCGAACTGTTACTGCGGATGGAAAGTGTCCGCACGAAATCCTGGTTTTCGCCAGCCAGCACTTTCGCGCTGGCAAGCCTGGTTCAAAAAAAAATCTTCTGAACCCAACACTGCCAAAAGTTGCCCGTCGCTTTAAGTTGTATGCCAGAGCTTCAACCTCAACTCAACCAGGATGCCAAAGGGGGGATAACAGATCAAGTTTCGGAGAAGGGAGCAAAGAGGGAGGGCAGGACGGGAAGGTGAACCAGGGAGCTACTGGAAGTGGATGAAGACGAGAGCAGCAGAGTAAGTTCTGTGGTGCTGACTGACTTGCAGGTGGAAGTGACATTCTACCAATTTGCAACAGCCTGCTTGCTCCCTGTAAGTGGGAAGTACACTCAGAACGGGCAGTTGTGTTACCAGCTCACTCATTTACCTGCAGGAAAGTTCAAGACACAGCACACAGCATGGTGATGTGATGAATGACACGGGTGGCAGGTGCTCAGCAAAGCCCATGAGAAGAGAGCAAGAGGGCGCAGCAACGCATCTTGGGAAGAGGGCAGGACATGCGAGAGGTTTTGCGCACCAGCGCACCAACGCACCTCTCGCAGGCCTTGCCCCCAGGGAGGGCAGGATATTGTTGTCCACCCATGGCAACCCCGGTCGTGTTTTTTTAGGCACCCCTAACGGGCAAGCGGTGCACACAGATTGTGAAAAGAGGTCCCTCGAAAGCTACACGCACCTCTCGCAGGTCTTGCCTCCAGGGAGGGCAGTTGTTGTCTGCTCGCAGCAAGCCCACTGGTGGCTGGAGTGAGTACTGCAAGGGAGGATGGAAAGCAGTAGAGAAGGAGAGGAGGAAAAGTCGGGGAAAAAATACGGAAGGAGGACAAGGAATGAGGGAATGGAGAGGAGAGAATCATCAACTGGAAGCGGGGGAGCAGATGGAGGAAAAGAGTGGCGAAGGCTTATCAGTTGACTCACCTTTTGAGACGTCTCAAAAGTTGAAATTTGACTCACCTGCTGGGAGTTGACTCACAATGCTCACAATACTCTAACTTCAGGTGTACACTGACAGCTCACCTGGTGGAAGTTGGCCCACACGTCCCGATTGGGGCCCTTGCCGTCCCGCACCACCCTGATGTCTATGTCCGCTCCCTGCAGGTGGTGGGGGGGGGGGGGTGGAGGTGTGGTAAAGGGACATGATAGGTGAGTGCACTACTCACATCCCCTTGCCATCCCGCACCACCCTGATGTCTATGTCCGCTCCCTGACAATTGTGGTGGTGGGGGGGTGGGGAGTGGGGAGTGGGAGATGATGGGTGTGTGAGTGCACTACACACATCCCCTTGCCATCCCGCACCACCCTGATGTCAATGTCCTCTCCCTGCAGGTGGTGGGGGGGGGGAAGAGAGGGGTGGGGGGGGGGGAAGAGAGGGGTGGTGGGAGGGAAGAGAGGGGTGGTGGAGGAATGAGGAGTGAGGGTGTGGTAAGGCGACCATATGGGTGTGTGTGCACCACCGTCACCCCTTGCCGTCCCGCACCACCCGGATGTCAATGTCTGCTCCCTGGGGGTGCGACAGCATGGGTAGGAGCAGCAGCAGCAGCAGCATGGTCAACTCCGTGCCAGAGTAAGAGGGGTTGCCCTTGCCATCAGTTGCTCTAATGTTGGCTGCACAGTTAGGTTGCTTTTGAGTGGGTTCAAAAGTCAAGTTTTGAGGAACACCAGGATACTCCCCCCCATGCCCGCGAACGGGTCGTACAGGAGAGCACCCCACGACACACACACCATTCTGATCTGCTCGTAGCATCATACCGCAGTCAGTCACTCCCTCACCAGCGTGACAGCCCCGAAGTGAGCAGCGGGCACCAGGATGCTCCCCGTGCCCACGAACGGATCGTACATGAGAGGCCCCCACCCCAGACACAACACTCTGATCCGACAGTAATATCGCATATGAGTGAGTGTGAGTCTCACCAGAGTGACAGCACCGAAGTGGGCAGCGGCCACCAGGATGCTTCCCGTGCCCACAAACGGGTCGTACATGAGCGTGCCGCGCCGCGCCAGCGCCTGGTTGGCCATGAGCAGCGATAGCTCAGCATCCATAGCTGTGGGGCCCAGGTAGCGGCGGCGACTGAGCTCGTACTTCGTGGCAACGGTCCGGTCTGATACCGCTACCTGTAGGAGGGGATGATGGGGAAGGGAGGGCAGTGTGACTCAGTGCAGGGGAGTGCAGCAAGCAGCAACTTGGCAGCAGCTCAGCCAGCATCCATAGCTGTGGGGCCCAGGTACTGCCGGCGACTGAGCTCGTACTTGGTGGCAACGGTCCGGTCTGATACCGCTACCTGTGTAGGTAGGGAGGGAGGGAAACATGAGCAGCGACAGCTCAGCGTCCATAGCTGTGGGGCCCAGGTACTGGCGGCGACTGAGCTCGTACTTGGTTGCCACGGTGCGGTCTGATACTGCCACCTTGGGGAAGGGAGGGAGGGAGGGGAAGATGAGCAGCGCCAGCTCAGCATCCATGGAGGTGGGGCCCAGGTACTGCTGGCGACTGAGCTCGTACTTGGTTGCCACGGTGCGATCCGACATGGCCACCTGTAGGGGGGGACGGCAGGGAAGGGAGGGCAGTGAGTCGGTGCAGGGTTGTGCAGCAAGCAGCAGCTCAGTCAGCGTCGCCCAGGTACTGCTGGCGGCTCAGCTCGTATTTTGTGGCCACTGTGTGGCCTGAGACCGCTAGCTGTGAGTGGGTGGGGAGAGAGGGGGGAGGGAGGGCAGTGAGTCAGTGTATGGGAGTGCAGAAGGCGCCAGCACAGCGTCCATGGCGGTGGGGCCCAGGTACTGCCTGCAGCTTATTTCGTACTTTGTGGCCGCTGTGCAGTCTGATACCAACCGCTACCTGTGGTGTGGAGGAAAAGGGGGGGAAGTGCAGCAAGCAACAACTTAGCAGCGGCCCAGCAGTCCCCAAGGCGGTGGGCCCCAGCCATGGGTACTGAAGGTGACTTAGCACACGCTTCGTTGCCTTGCCAATGGCAAAAGGTGGAAAAACTTTTGAGAATTCTCAAAGGTGACTCAGCACATACTTTGATGCCAATCGCACAGGGTGGGAAATCAAAACACCAGAAAGGGAGATCAAGTTACTTCCATGCGTGCCAGCCAGGCAGCTCATCATATGACCTAACCTAACATGTGATGAGAGTGTGGCCTGCATGCATACCACAGCCACAATGCAACTCTCACTCATAAAGCACATCATCCCCTCCCTACCAAGCACCTCTCGGCCAATAAACACGCACCTCTCGGCCAATGAACACGCGCAAGGGCATGTTGGGGGGAAGGCCGTTGTTGGTGCATTCTGCGGCCTGCTCTATCACCCAGAACTTGTACTCGGGCGCGCTCAGCTTCACCTTGCCCTGCCAAGTTGAAGGGGGGATGGGGGTAAAGTGGATAGGCAGAGAGAGGGGGGTGCTGCTGGTGCATTCTGCTGCCTGCTTTATCGCCCAGAACTTGTGGTCTGGCGCGCTCAGCTTCACCTTGCCCTGCCAAGCGTACGTAGGAATGGGGCAGGCAGTAGAGTGGACTGGGTCACGACCAGCCCCTCAGCTGATACTTCATGGTCCGATACGGCTACCTGCGGGTGTGGACAGTGGAAGGAGGACAGCAAGGTACTTGCCATGCCAAGGTGAAGTGGGGATGGGGATGGTGAGGGGGTGCTTCTCGCTGCTGCTGGCTGCCCCCACTATCAGACTATCACCCAAAGCTGACCTCGAAGAGGATGTGTCTGGCCGTGGCAAGGAGAGAAGATCCTTTTAGGCACCAAGCAGGCAACAACCAGCCGGACAGACGAGGTCGGGACGATTGATTGCAAGGGCCTGTGAGGAATCCAAACCACCCACTCACCTGGAAGGGGATGTATGTGAATCGCTCCATGCGCTCCCGCTGCTCGTCCATGGAGAAGAGCTTGCCAAAGCCCAAGCAAACCCAGGAAGCGGGGAAGGGGTTTGCAGACACCACTCACTCGCCCACTCGTCCATTGACAAGATCTTGCTAAAGCCGTCCACCACCATCTTGAACGTGGACCCGGGGGCTGTGAAGGGCGCAATCTTGAGAGCTGTGGAAACCACCAACCCACCTGGAAGGGGATGTATGTGAACCGCTCCATCCTCTCCCTCTGCTCGTCCATGGAGAATATCTTGCCAAAGCCGTCCAGCACGATCTTGAACGTGGACCCAGGGGCAGGGCAACAAATGGCAAGGGCCTGAGAAAGAAAGGCGGCCCAAGGCACCCACCCACCTGGAAGGGATGTATGTGAACCGTTCCATCCTCTCCCGCTGCTTGTCCATGGAGAAGAGCTTGCCAAAGCCGTCCACAACGAACTTGAACGTGGACCCGAGGGCTGTGCAATGAAAAGGGCCCGAGAAAGGCGTCCAAGGCACGGCACTCACCTTAAAAGGGATGTACGTGAATCGCTCAATCCTCTCCCGCTGCTCGTCCATTGAAAATATCTTGCCAAAGCCGTCCACAACGATCTTGAACGTGGACCCGGGCGCTGTGAAGGGCGCAATCTTGGTGGTGATGTTAGCCTCAACCTGCGGCTTTAGTGCCTCGTAGGTGGGAGCCTCCGCCCAAATGTCGAATATCCCCTTTATAAGCAGGCCTGGGGGGGTAGGAGGGTGGAGAAAGAGAGGAAAAGGAGAGAACAAGAGGGTCGGTGTGGGGATCTTGCCAAAGCCGTCCACCACGATCTTGAACGTGGAGCCCGGGGGCTGTGAAGGGCGTGACCTTGGCTGCCAGGTTCGCCTGCACCTGCGGCTTTAAGGCCTCGTAGGTGGGCGCCTCCGCCCATATGTCGAATATTCCCTTTATAAGCAGGCCTGGGGGGTGGAGAGTTGGATAGGAAAGGGGAGAGGACAGGAGGATGGGAGTGGGGGTTGAGATGGGAGGAGGGGGAGGGAAGAGAGAGGGTGGGAGAAGGGAGTGTCATGGCTGAGAAAACGGTGGGTTTGGAGATGGAAAGGGGGAATGGGGAGCGTGTGGTGGAGAACACTTCTAACAGGTAATTTCAAAGAATGTCACTGATGTTGGGGGCCAAGGGCACTCCATGGGGTGGCGAACATGGGAATCGATCGGAACAGGGAGCGGGCGTACGGCAGTTGATTCAACGTCAGCCAATCAAACGTTTCCATCCGACTTCCTAAACCCCCTCCAGCAGACAAGTACAAACACCCTGAACCCTGCAAGCTGAAAACCCCCCCGATCAACCACAATTCTCGTCCCTCATCCGCAAAACTAGAGACGCGCCTTCTGTTCGCCTAAACCCTGAACCTCGCCGAGTCAATCGTTATACCCTAGAAGAGGGAAAGTCTACCCGTGGCTGTAGGGTTTAGAGAGTCGACTTCTCAACTGGCCTGGGTTGCGGGCGGCGAGAATCGGGACCTCGTAGCTTCTGAATGGCTTCGATCTGTGCATATAAGTAGCCCGTGATATCAGGAATAGAAGGTCCTGCGCTCGCAAAGCAATGGCTGCTGCTGAAATGGCCTATCTATTTTGCGGCTGATATGCAGATATCGAATAGACGCCTAGCGACTGTGATTCACGAGATCGTGTTGGTCTCATCGCCGACTCACTTCTAGCGGCCATTTGCCTCGCCACGTCATCAGACGGCAGATCCACGTAGAAGAACGGCGAGTCCATGTGATCGCCACGTGGCTTTCTCCATCTTACAGGCTCCCACTCGCTCCCCCCTCCCCCTGATATCTCATCCTCCTCTCCTCCTTCCATCTCACTCCCCGCTTCTCCCCTCCTCGTCTCCTCGCTGCCTTCGTCTCCCCTCACTTCCTCAACCACCCTCTCCCCTTCGATTCCCTTTTCTCCGCCTCGTTCTCCCTCCGATAAAGCCGAGCCGGCAGGCGGCCGCAATTCCAATTCATCGTGACGTGGCGCGGCGTGATGAGCTGGCGGCTGCACGCCAGCGAGGACGGCGAGCGACTGCAGCTCGTCGAGGCGGAAGTCGAGGTGGCGATGCATGAAATACGCCAAGTACCACATCGTGCCTGGCTGTTACTACCAGGTAGGTACGAGAAAATGAAATGCTGCTGCTGCTGCTGCTGCTGGTGAGATGGGCCTGCACTTGCTGCAGCCGCTGCTGCTGCTGTCGGGCTGCTTATGCTGAAAGTTACACCGTTATCAGGTACGGTACTAAATTATTGCTGAGGTGACGGCGGTTGCTGCTGTGGCTCGTCACGGCTATTGCAACAGCGCTTGAGTCGGTTGGTCACGAACTGAACGCGCGGCGCCTCGTAGGGAGAGGTGGCAGTGAGGTAAGGAAAGATCCGCCTTAAAGACTGATTTCCGGAAAATGACAATACAAGGAAATCACTGTTAACAAATCGGCAATAGAAGAGAGAACCCAGCAAAAAAAAAACATCTACAAAATGGAAGTGGGTTTATTGCAGTTCCGCCAGTTAAGAATATTGATTTATTTGAAAAAACAATAGTGTATTTTTAATCACGAAATAGATAACAATGATTTATGTGCAGCTCGCAGCGCGCGCTCCTTGTCAGCACGCTACCCGCCCCGTTCCGTGCAGCCCAAGGCCAGCGGCATCCGCGCCTGCTGTGGTGGGGAGGTGGCGGGAGTAAACCAGCAGGACCCAGCCGCCGCCCTCCTCTCTCCTCTCTCTCCCCGCAGCGCCCGTCGCTGTTGTGGAAGGGGGGGAGGGTGAGGAGGTGGTGGGAGAGATTGTGCCGCACAAGCAGCTGCCCCTCCTCTCTCTCTCTCACTGCCGCGCATGCCGCTGTGGGGGGGAGGGGGAGGGGGTGGCGGGAGTCAGCTGGGCATATGAAGCTGCTGCCCGCTGCAACCGTGGCACCTTCTGCTGCCACCCCTGCTGCCACCTGCACCTACTGCTGCTGCCTGCTGCTTGTGAGCGCAGTTGCTGCCGTTGAGCCCTGTTGTGACGCCGCCTATTGCCGCCGCACGCAACCCCTCTCCAGACGCCCTGCTGCCCCTGCACCCGCTTCTGCTGCATCTGCCGTGGCGGAAAGCTTGCTGCAGCTAAATCTGCCACTCCTCTTGCCTGCTGCTGATTCTTCTGTTGCCTGTTGTAGCCCTTCAGGGGGTGTGACTTGCTCTAGCTTTGTGCTGCAGGGAGTTAGGGGGTGTGTCGTGATATATATTTTCATATATATCTATAACTGCACCATGTATGACTGAGTCAGAGTGATGGTGGGCGCTGCTGTGTCCCACGTGATTTGCAAGCCAAGATAGCTGCGAAGTTCACCCAGGTCAGTGCAGGTATGTCTCTTGTACAGCTCCGCCTTCACAAGGACCAGTTTCTCAATGTCAGCAGTAGCAAAGACAAAGGCGTTGACGTATACGATGATGTATTACAGGGGCAGCGAAGGGTCGGTGCGCAGAAGCAGCGACAGGTCAGCAGTCGAAGGAGTAAAATTAAGAGCCGCAAGCGTCGTCCTCAGTGTGTCGCGCCAATCGCGGGGCGCCTGGCGGAGACCGTAGACTGGCCGCCAGAGGCTCCACTGGGTACCCTTAGGAAACGACCCAGCGAAGCCACGTGGGCGGCGCAGCCATATCTCCTCATGTAGGCTGCCCTGCAAGAAAGCTGTGGAGAAGTCGAGTGAGTGCAGCTCGTAGTCACGCTGTGCTGCAACGTGCAGTAACACCCGAAGAGTGGTCATCTTCGGGGTGGGGGAGAAGGTCTGGAAGAAATCAACTCCCTGACGCTGACTGCAGCCTCGCGCAACGTAGCGCACCTTGAAGACAGGCAGAGAACCTGACGGCGGCTCACCCTGAAAATTCACATGCAATCGACTATGTTCGCCCCAGGAGGGGGAACTGCATCGACGTAGGTGCCTGTGGCCTTCCAGGATGCCATCTTTGCGTCCATGGCTATCTGCCACTCAGAGGAATACTGACCCGGGATCGCCTCTGCGTAAGAGCGCGGGGTCGGGATGTCCAGTGCATTCGGGTCTCCCTCAGGGGCAAGTAGCATGGCAGCAAGACGAGGTACGGCAGCGGCAAAGCACTCTAGCTCAAATTGCCTATCCTCAAGGACGTCACAGCCAAGGGCAAGCTCACACCCGACGGATGGATGACAGTCAGACTCAGAAACAAGACTCATGAAGAAGTCAAGACGACAGGCAGCAGTAAAGTCAACTAGCTCAGTGATTAAGGCAGACGCAGGAGCAGACTCAAAGGTAAGGTCAGTGACAAGTGTGGCCAGACAACGAGTGACAGTCGGACTAGCAGCACGAGCAAGGTCAGACTCAGGGTCAGGAACGTAAGGAAGAGAGGACGCCAGAGGAGACGGCAGGACAACATGCTGTGGAACTGAGGAAGGACGTAGTGCCATAGTGTGAGTGCCGGGGACAGGGTGTGTACAAACACGACGAGTGCGACGGGTATGAGCAACAGGCGAGGCAGGACGAGACGCATGCCCCCGACGCTCAATCAGGGAGTCTGTCAACTCAGTGTAAGGAGAATGAGCAGGCAGTGGGGTGTCAGGCTGTAACTGTGTCTGTGACGGGTCAGTCGGTGGACACAGGAGAGGAGGAGTAGCACCAGTGGAAGACGGAAGACTGAGAACCTGGCGAAGCGCCGAGCCAGGTGGTGGCAGTGACGACTGCGGCTTGTCCCAGAATTTACGGTCACCACTGCCGTGGCTGCACAGCACCCCCAGCCCCAGTACCTCCAGCACTAGAACCTCCAGCACTGTCAGCTCCAATACCTCCAACTCCAATACCTCCAGCACCTCCAGCGGTAGTACCTCCAGCACCATAAACTCCAACACTGCCATCTCCAGCACCTCTAGCGCCAGCACCTTCAGCACCGCTAGCTCCAGCACCTCCAGCGCCAGTAACTCCATCGCCAGCACCTCCAGTACCACCACCTCCAGCACCAGTACCTCCAGCACTAGAACCTCCAGCACCTCCATCACCAGAACCTCCTGCACCGCCAGCTCCAGCACCTCTAGGGCCAGCACCTCCAGCACCGCCAGCTCCATCACCTCCAGCGCCAGCACCTCCAGCACCAGAACCTCCAGCACCGTCAGCTCCAGTACCACCACTAGGACGCGCAACACCCCCAGAACCAGCACCCCCAGGGTCAGCACCCCCACACCCAGTACTCCCAGAACCCGCACCATCAGTGGCACCACCCCCAGCAGCACCGGAGTCTACAGGGACAGGCTGTAGAGGCGGCGAAGGCAGTCGCGGCGGAAAACAAGGAGGGGTCTCTAAGCGCGGTGAGCGGCGAGAAGCTGACGTGTCGTCAGCAGCATGGTCACCCCCCTAGCCGGGCAAGCGGGGTTTGAGGAGACCTCCAAAGGCTCAGCCGCACCTGTGCTAGCTGACTCACAAACAACTACACTAGCATCCTCTTACACTACCAGATCTAGGTACACAAGAATAATAGTTACCTTCAGCACTAGCAACAGTAGAGTACATAGCACACATGCGAGCGGTGATCTGGTCCCAATCAAGAGCAAATACATCGATGTTCTTCTTGAGCAATCCTAACCAGTCAGGAAGCTTCCGTCTCTCTCCAAACTCCTCGCAAAAGGTATCGTCGAGGCGGTAGAAGCAGCGAGTCTCAGTGTGCCCCAACCTGCCGCAGACCTCCCATGCCTGCCGGCCCGTGCGGCGGCGGTACTAACAGCGGCCTCGACCTCCGGGGCCACTTCGCTGGGCAATCTACTCTCGAAGCTGTTTCTGCAAGAGAGTCTCCTGCTGACACTGCTGCTGTCCATTCCCAGCACCTCCGCCTCCACCAGCTGTAACGCTAGGCGCAGCTCCTCTGGAAGCCGTACCCGAGCCTCCTCCCCTGTCGCAGAATTACACTGTCCAGCTTCCGTCCACAGGGAGGACAGTGTAATACTGAGACTGCAGAATGTTATAAGCAGATAAGATGAGAAGCGGTGTACAGTGAAGCTTGAGCGAACGGGAGAGAGCAACTCGAGGGTGTAATCGAGGAAGTGTACAGGGTGGGCTGTGAATGAGGGGTGGAATGCGGTGTGGATGCCCATTGTAAATACGCGTGGTATGTCGGATGTGTATGACTATGCATGGTGTGGGAATGTTTCCTTCTCTGTTTGATTGTGTGTTCAGCATCACAGCGAGAAGCTGCAAACGCGGACAAGAGCAGCAACCGCCAGCTGGCTAGTGGAGCAAGTGAGCATGCGGTGGCCAGGACAGCTGGACCCAAGTCCCTTATAACTGCTCATGCAGACACAAACCGCAGGCGGCGTGTACAGAGCCTCGGGCGCCCCCGAGCCTCGCTACAGTGATGGGTGTTTGGTTGGATGTGCTTTCTTGCTGAGCAGCTAGAGCTCCGTGCTAGGCAACATCTGCTTGTACATAGGATTGCCCTAGTGGTTGAAGCTCGCAGCTTCTTTTTTTGTTTCCTGCATTCTGATAATAAATCCGGTTAAACCAACTCAGTCTCAGAGTAGGCGGGAGCCAAGCAGAGCGGAGGCAGATGGGTTAGTGAGCTTTTTCGACAAACAAAGAAGGGTAGGACAGAGCTGCGACGGGAGGAGTGCGGATGCAGCTTAGATCTGGCAACCTATACGGACCCCCGGTCGAGCCTGTACCAATGGCAACCCCGGGGTGGAGAGCCGGAGAATTCGTAGGGTCAACAAGTGAGGGGCGAACCCCTTTGCCGGCAGTAGCGCCAGGAAGGGAACCCTACACTGCGCCGCATCGGAGGCACAGTATGAGCGACCTGCCGAGCGGAGCCCGCGGGCTATCTGGAACGATCACGGAACTACCACTGGCGGAGACGGCCGCGCCGGGAACTACGTCGCTGGCCGATGAGGATCAAGAGACCGAAGCAGCCCAGGCGTGCCTGTCATCCCAGACACGGAGGATGTCGCTGTCTGAACATCGTCCCACGGAAGTCACGCAGGCGCCCATCCGATACGCAGCGCTACCCAAGATTGAGGTGCCCGAGCGGTTCGCAGGCACGGTAGGCGTGGGAAGCTCGCTCCGGAATTATATGATGCAGATCCGAAACGCCCAGTACCGGTGGC